AAGCTATAGGATGCGCTGTGACTGATATAGAAACTAAAACCTGGAGCAATTCAAGCTTCACGGGTGAGCAGTATAAAATGGAAGCTAAAATAGAAGTCTTTAGAGAGGATTTAGAGCAATTTACGACGAAAGAAAAAACATGGTATCTTCAGAATCTTTGAGAATTTTACAATCAGAAATAGAAAGAGAAGAGAAAAAGAGAAAGGAAAAATGCTAAATGGCGCCGTGGCATTGTATGCGCCGAGAGATATCCAAAAAACAAAAAAAACAAACAAAAGGCCATCCAGGCCACCAAACCCAAATGCAAATAATTGTGTGGACCCAAAAGTACAAAAGGAGTCTATGCTTAATTTTCAACAGCGTTGCGCCGAATTACCCATTTCCAGACACCGAAAATAGAAGCAATAGAGTTGAGTCAAAGGGGAGTAGGGGGCATGATTAAAGAGAACCTCCCCGGTTGGGGAGAAGAAATGAGGATAAGAAAGGCAAGGAGATGGGCTCAAACTTGCGACTGGCTAAGACTCGATCTCGATCTCGATCGTTGAGACAAAGAGCGACGGCCACGGCTAGAAGGGGCGCGGTCTACCGGTGGAGCATGTTCGAAGAACGGAATCAGATCTGGGTTCTGGCTTGGGGGTGATCCGGAGGTAGCGGAGTACTCGTTCAGGATACGGTCATCGGCAGCGGTATCCGGATGCACTTCAATGCCTTTCACGCGATCAAGGCCGCTGTGAGGGCCGCCGTTTGTTGGGAAGCTGATGGAGTCGGCTTCGTTGTGGTTTCGTTCGATGGGAGACCATCCGGCAATACTACCGGCGACAATGCCTGCCATAGCAGCGGCGGGTCCGAAGGTCGAGTTCGATCGGGACCGTGTGTTGCGTCTGGAACGAGACTCTGGAGTAGTCGGCTGTGGAGTTGGACTGCCGTTGTCGTTGTCGTTGTCGCCATTTGGTGTGGGTGGGGCAGAGGAATCACGCGAGCGGGAGCCACTGCGGGATCGAGGAAGGAGTTCCTGAGGGTGTTGCAGCTTGTGGCGGATGTGGCGTAGACGACCACCGCGGACGCGCTTGATGAAGGCGAGTTGATCGCGGATTTCTTCCAAGGCGGGATTCCACTCGTAGTTGCGGTCCTCGTCTGAAATGACCAATTCGGGACCCTTGTTGCGATGCCAGAAGTGGGGAACGAGTCTTGCGCAGAATTCATCTGGAATAAGACGAATGATCACGGCGATGGGTAAGGAGATTGCTCCAAGTATAAGACTCACAGCCCACTGTGAGCCCTCGTTAAGACGCTTGACGGAGAAGGCAGCGCCACCAACAAAGATGATCAAGATTTGACCTCCAATAATGATGAGCTGAATACCAATGAACCAACGGTTCTTCCAAATTCCTTCCAAGATGTTGAGCTTGTTGTCAATACGACGGGAATTGTACTGATTGAAAATTTGCATGAAGACAAAAGTGTTGAAAACCACAGTCTGCAGATGCTCGTGATCCCAAGAGAAGATCTTGGATCCGGCGAAATTCAGAACGAAAGTTACAACCAGCTGATAGATGGACTGTCCAATGATCATCTTCCACATTGTCAGAGTGATGAGCGGATCGGCTTTCGATTCAGGTCTGCGGTCAAGCACTGTTGGCGTAGGGGGGTCTGTCGCCAAAGCGAGGGCAGCAAACGTGTCCATGATCAAATTGACCCACAGCAACTGTACTGCGCTAAGCACGGAGTCCTCACTATCACTAGCGACTGCAGAGACGAAGGTGAGGATGACGGCGGTGATGTTGACGGTGATTTGGAACTGAAGGAACTTCTTAACGGCGTCACAGACGGTACGACCCCATGCCATAGCCTTGACGATAGATGAGAAATTGTCATCCATGAGAATAATGTCCGAGGCCTCTTTGGCCACTTCGGTACCAGTGATACCCATTGCAAAACCAACATCGGCATTCTTGAGGGCCTGGGCGTCGTTGGTACCATCTCCAGTGACAGCAACAGTCTCTCCAAGCTTCTTGAGTTGATTGACCAGGATCTTCTTATCGTCCGGGCTAGAGCGGGCGATGACCTGGAGTCTTGGGATGATTTGGTTCATTTGGCGTGTGCTCAGCTTGCGGAATTTGGGTCCCTCAATCGCGATACCGCCAGGTGTGTAGATACCACACTCCTGGGCAATAGCCTTGGCCGTCATGATGTTATCACCAGTCACCATCCTGACAAACACTCCAGCACGTTGGCATGTGTACACTGCCTCGGCAACACCTTCTCGGACAGGGTCCTGAATACCAAAGATACCCAACATTGCCATGTCCTTGAAGATAGGTTCGAAGACTGCCTGGTTGCGATCGGTTTCCGCAGTAGGAGCTCCACGAGGTGGCCATTGATCGAAGTCACGGTAAACTAGCGCAATGCATCGGAGGGAACGGGTAGCGTAGTTAGTCATGATGTTGTCCAGTGCAGTCCTGTTCTCGTCGGTAACAGGAGCCTCTGATAGATTGTCAGTGGGATCTCGGACGATGCGGGTCGACTTGGCGGCTAGAATCTCCGCGGCACCCTTGACTAGCATTCGGTATTTTCCATTCTCCAGCTGGACCACGACTGCCATGCATTTGCGGCCAGAATCGAATGGGAACATCTGGGCGAGCTTGCCGTTTGCTCTCGCTTCGCTGAGGACCCCCATTCCGAGGTAATCCCTAGCGAAAGTCAAGAGGGCAGTTTCTGTTTTGGATCCAACGTATGTCTTAACTCCATCTGTCTCACCTTCGAATGCGGATGAGTTGTAGACAATCGATTGGAGCAGGACATCCTTCACCGAAGGCGATAGAGTAGAGACAAAATCGGAGGCGGTGATCTCACTCTGATCATCGGACGAGACACCAGAATACTTTCCGAACCGAGACGTTGTACCCAGCGTCGCAGCTACTGCAGTCATTTTATTCTCTGTCAAGGTTCCAGTTTTGTCGGAGCAAATCGTGGTGGCGTTACCCATAGTCTCGCAAGCTTTGAGATAGCGAACCAGGTTGTTGTCTTTGAGCATTCGTGTTGTAGCAAAGGCCAGAGCGAGCGTGACAGCCAGTGGTAAGCCTTCAGGCACTGCGACGACGACAATTGTAACCGCAACAATGAAAATCTGCAGGAATGCTTGACCCTTGGCGTCTGCACCACCCTCGATGTCCTTCAGACGAACCAAAAATTTGATGAAAAGAACCACAAACAGCAATAAACCAGAAGCGAGACCAAGCTTAGCAATGTACTCAGCCAACTTGTTGAGCTTAGTTTGCAAAGGCGTTGTCTCACCCTCCTCTTGGAGGGACATCATCGTCCGGCCGAAGGTAGCGTGCATACCGGTAGCAGTGACCAAAAAGGTGCCGACACCCTCAGAGACCTTGGCACCGGAAATGATAAAAGGATCCATTTTCTTCAGGTCTTCGTGTTGCTCGATTGTCCGGTACACTTCATCACCAGGGGTTTTGCGGAGAACATCAGACTCGCCAGTAGCCGAAGATTCATCGCACTTGAGGTCGTGGCCTTCGATCAAGATCCCATCAACTGGGACCATATCACCAGGTTCCAGAAGCATCAAATCGCCAACCAAGACGTCGTGGATATTAATTTCTTCCGTTCGGCCGGATCGCGTTACCTTGACCTGTCGATTTTCCTTCTTTTTGTTGAGTTTTGCAAATTGTCGTTCCTTTTGCCAGTCATTCGCTGCGCCGACCGTAACCACAATAATAATGGCTACGAGAATGGCCAGACCTTCGACCCATTCCACGCCAGGTTCATCAGGATTTGCTGGATGGATCGATTGCGGAATTCCCACAGCAAGTGAAACTACGGCCGCAACCGTCAATAAGATCAACACCTTGTCGTTGTAGGCAATCCATGCAAGCTCCCAGATAGTCTTCAACTTCTTCTCTGGAAGCTTGTTATCTCCGTAGATACGTCTGCGGTCGGCGTAGGCTTCTTCGCCCTGGTTTATGACAGAGCTCTCGGCGGCGGGCGGTGGTGGCTTTGGCGAGGCAGATTTGGGTATATTGTTTGGTGAGGCGGGTGAGGCGGGTGAGGCAGGGGAGACAACATCGTCAAAGCTGACGGTTCCGTCAAGGGTTGTCTCATCAACACTCAATCCACTTTTTACATCAGTTCGGAGTCCTTTTTCTAGTCCTCGCAGGCCTCCCATCGCATGGAAGGCGGCAAAACTCTTTGGATTGAGAAGCTTATTCAGCTGACCAGGTGAGAAAGCGAACTTGTTGTCCTCGACCTCGAACTCGGATTCGCGGCCGGGGTCTGGGGTGAGGGCATCCTCATCGTGTATGTCGTTTATGGCGGCGTTCTTGGCCAAATCAGATCTCGATTCGTGAGATGTTGAGGGGACATATGTCTCGCCGCCGTAGGTGCTCGATGTTTGACTGGTCTCGTCCGACTCTAGAGAATTACCTCGGGATCGTGCTCCGGGGACGGAAAGGAAGTTGGAATGCGCCTCAGGCGCCTTCGACTTGGGTGACGAAATGTTGTGGGGTGACGTTGGGCGACTCTCTAGGTCACGAGCTTCGGAGGAGGCATTGGAGCGAATCGAGGCTGTGGACCTCATATCGGTGGGAGAGACACTGCCACTGTTCAGTAATGCGCTTGTGTCGGCGGCATGTGCGTTATCGGTGTAGGTGTGTGATCCTCCCGAGAGGACTTGGATAGGAGGGTATTCTGTATCGGGGGAGTTCACGGCTGAGGTATCGATGGTAATAGTCGGCGCGCGTTCTCTGCGCAGGGTCGATTGGCCTGGCTCATCGTTTCGGTCGGACATTGTGGCAGTGTGTATTCAATGGATTCATGCGTGGCTCACACCCGGGTTTGCGGGTTCATGGAGTGGATAAGGAGAAAGTAGAAAGAATCATTCCTGAAGTCCTAGGGTGAAAGGCAAGGGTGGAAAGGTGTGTAAAACAAGATAGGAGGCGAGCTTGGCAATGTATTGCCTCCCGGAGACGTCAAGTTCAGTCTTATCCACTATGGTCGAGAACTTCCCTTTCAATTCAACTCTCATTAAGTGGATTTTCTTGTTCTAAACTCCACTTTTTAGCTCTTGCACAGCCCCTATACTATATATGTATTTTCAATTTCTACATGTATATATATCTGTCCTCCAACTAACCTACACAATTTATAGATTCTTTTTGCCCAATTGACAAGAAAACCCCTTGGTCATATTTACGGGAAATGAGTGTCAAATAAGAATACCAATACATTCAATACCAAGCTATATAGTGTGTTCTGCACTGCCTCATTGCCAAGACATCGACATGCCGATGCGGAAAATAGGGGGAAAACTTTTTTTACTTGAACATGTTAGTATAATTGGGTTAAAATTGAAGATCTAGCTTATATTAAAGACGTTATATATCTCTCTATACGGAGTATGGTGTCTATACGAAGTACTCAAAATTTAGTCTTGATACGGGGTACGGAGTACTACGCCCTTTAAAGTGGTGACGTCCCCTATATTTACGATCGACGAGTGCGACGTAGCGTATCCAAGATTTGTTTTTTTTTTTCTTAAAAACTTTGATTCCGGAACTAAACGGAGAACTTGATTTTACATGCCAAGCTCCGGACCTCACACAGCTCAGCCACACTCAGACCCTTGCATTCATCGTACGGCATGTACAAAGTAACTACAATATATGTTATATGGAGTATGGAGTAAACTGATATCAAAAGCTTAGACATCGTTATACGGGGCACCTAATAGGTCTAGCTTGATCCTCTACAAATCCAAATCGGGCATCTATAGCTACAATATATATATATATACCTCACCAATTGACTACAATATACAGTAACACAATACATATCAACACCAAATCTAAAAATATATTCTCAAAACTAACAATCATCTCACACTTCCAACAGAGCCCAATCAAAAGCCAAAAGCCTTATAAATGTCCAACCCAACCAACAGTTACGGCCTCACCGCTGTCCCAGCCCAAACCCTACTCACTCCCACCTACCCAGCACCAACCTCCCCCCAACCCCAATTCTTGAAACCCCACTAGCCCAGCGCATCAACGCCTATGCACGCACCTCCCCGAAGGACCATACAGCCACTTACGACCGATCGGGCTCATCAAACGGTACCGATTCCCGTTTGCGGACTGGGACTTTGGACAAGACTTTCTTCCTGGCTTGTTTGTTGCATGATATCGGGTCCACAGAGACCAGTATCACCAGACTGAGTTTTGAGTTCTTCGACGACGTGTTGGCATTGCGCGTCTTGCAGACTGATACTCAATACATCCACGAAGACGAAGACGAGGCTGATGTGGGTGTTCATGTCCGTGATCGGGGAACCTATACTTGCTTTAGTGAGGCGAGGGCCCCGCATGAACAGGCGGAGAGCGTGACGGAGATCATTCGATATCGGGATTTGTCGCTTGGTGGCATCACTGTGGGACAGTTGTTGCAGCTAGCGATGTACGCTGTACAACATCATCAGCTGATCTCCAAAAACCAACTTCCTTGCAGATAATATCGGCGCATACCCCCGACCTCTCGTCCATGCAGATCCTATCAAGGATGTCTCGACGCATTTCCCGCGTAGACGCTGGAGCCACTGCTTTGCAGCCACGATGGCGAGAATATTCTCGAGCCTTGGGAACATACTACCGTTCTAGGCGAGGAATCCCCCGCCAATGTGCTGGGAAATATACTCATGGTGCCATATGAGTGATTGTGCTCGCTTGAGGCTATGTTTCAATGTGACTAATCCATATGTGTAGTGTTTTTTCGTGAGTCAACTGAGTCTGATACTAATGAACTACTCGTGGTTGGGAACAGGCAAGGTGATAAGAAACGAGGAACGCGTAATAAAAACTGCAATCAAATTGATATTGTTGACAAACGATGTCGATGCATTCGTAGATATCCTATTGACACGTAGCTGTAGTAAAAGTAACCTCCTTCCATGTTTGATCCAGTTTCGTTCATATCAGAGCCTCGCCGTTAAAAAAACTTAAAACCACTCAAATCCCATGCTAATGTACACAGAACAAATCACCGCTGACTCATTGCTCCCGTTCTGGGTCGGATACGATCCCAAGCCTCTTCTTTTCTTCTTCAGAGATCGTGACATCCCAGATCTTCAGTTCCTGGCCCTTTTCAAAGGTGTTGTGCTCCATTGAGGACTTGCGCTGAGTGGAGTCCCGGATGACCAAGGCCTTGCTCGACAAAGCGAGCACATCGACAAGCTCGGCCATGCGTCGTGACTTTGTAAAGGCGCGAGTGACATGCTCGTAGTTTGCAACCCAGATAGACACAATCATACAGGAAGTCAACAGATCGTGCCGCTCGAGGGTGTGACTGGCGTAGTACAAGGCGTTGTGCCAATCAAGAATCAGCTCTGGAACGTAGGTTGTCCGAATGTATTCGAAGTCTTGTTCTTCCTCGGCTGTAGAGAAAGATTAGTATTGATATTCCAATGCCGCGACATCAAGTACATACCATCGGTGGATGTGGGTAGCCACTCTTCAGCGACCACTTGTCCAACCCATTCTTCTAAAACAGCCACGCATTCGTTCATATCTTGACCCATGCCCTTCAAGGTGCCCGAGTCACGTCGACGTTTGGTCCTAAATGGATTAGCTTTGGTGGCACGATGAAGCAGGGAAAGGATGGACTCACTTGGACATCTGCTCGTGCACCAACGCAAATTGCTCCACGCCATCAAACCCGAGAGCCAAGCTCTCCAGATCTAGAACCCTGTGAGCCCGGTAGTATGCCGAAACCAGTGCGACATTGTTGGAACCGGACAGACTTCGTCGGTGGAGGCTGTTTCTCTTTGATTTGGTGGGGCTAGTTGGCGTAGTTGCTTCGGTATGTCCCGCTTCCTGCGGAGGCATGGAGATGATATCGGATCCGAATTTGTCAATTGAGATATCAGCCAATCGAAGGCGGAAACTCAACTCGCGAGCAGCGGCAAGCTTATCAGCAACTAGTAAAAGTCAGTTCGATGGATTCCCTGCAACAGGAATAATAAAAACATACGGAAGAACTTGCGATACAGCCAGGAACCAAGATCGCAAATCTTATCCCACTGTCCATCTATGTAGCGAAGCCACTCCAGACTGCGAATCATCTTGTCATCTTCCGGAGCGACGGAGGTCCCGATCAAGTCGGTCTTGGGTGACACCAATGCACGGGAACCGTCAGGTCGTCGCAGCACTCTTGAATAACCTGTGACTCCTCTAGAGTGTTCAATCGCAGAGACATTCTCCTTCACCCACGCCCATTGAACATCAAGAACAGTTTCCATGTCAATCTGATGTTTCCGCGCGAGCTTAACTTGCTGGACCTTTTCTTGTGGGTCAACAATTTCAATCAGAATCTTGGATAGAACTTCGTGTCCCATTGTTGCGGGGAGAAGAGACACGTAAAGTGGGACAAGGTGGAATAGACCTCTATCTTCCAGGTTGGCAATATGTCCAGCCACGATCACCGACGCCGTTTCAACGAAATGAGCATCCACGCGAGCGTAGCCCCTTGCACTGGCCACAACGTAAACATGAGCTGCAATTCTGAGAGCTTCTTCGTCATCGGCAGCTATGAGGAAAGATTCATCTACTGGCTTGCGCGTAATGTCTGGGATGACAGAGTTTTTCCCATATTTATCGGCGCTAACTTGCGATACAGCTTGAGCCAGAGAAGTGAAGAATGTATCGTAGCCTTTGCTGAGAATTGTGGCCTGGATATTGCGGAACGGATTACGCGCTTCACCACTGACCCGGTCATTGCCCTTGAGATAGACAAGGAACTTTTGAAGTTCTGCGTGCCCAGCCGGTTCCGGCTTGAAGGCTACAGCGGTGTTGGGGGAGTGGCTGAGTTTGCGCTGGAATTGCTTGCAAAATCCCTGATAGCGTGAGAGCACGACACGGTTGAAATACACGTAAAGGAAGTCGTCCCAGCTGCGGCAGACACTGGCTGCAGCATCGGTTTCACCAGCAAGAAGGGCGTAGACCGCTCGCTGGAATTCGTCGGTATTGGGATCGCGTGTTAGCGCAGAGCAGGCGGTGCGCCATGAATCGTGGGATCGACTGTTCATCAAACGTGTGTGGCCATCGTCAGATGGGTATCGAGAACTTCCCGACTTGGGATCCACACTAGAGCCACACAAGCTGACGGCCCTCCATCCTTCCAGACGGGTCTCTGCCCATTCACGAATCTTAGTCCAGTTCTCGCCTTGTCTGAGCATCTTCCAGCAAGTTATCCATGTAGCGCGCTCGTGGAATTCGTCCTGCCTTTGTAAACCGTGCTTCTGACGAGTGATGGCATCGGGATCGAGTTGAGTGATTAGCGGTTTTTGTTCGTCGTTGCTCAAAAGCGAGCGCGAGATTCCCGGGTCATTGGGCTCGAGAGGCTGTGGCCAGGCGCGCAAGCGTTTGTGGCCCTTGATCGCTTCTTTAGTAAAAAGCCAGCCAGTTGTCCATAATCCTTGTCCCCTTTCCGCTTGTCCCTCCATTTCCGTGATCAGGGTATCGAATTCTTGGCTTGCTGTCTTGGAGGTCTCCTCCAACCACCGCATGGCAACCACGCATTCGAGGCCATATTGGTCGGCATTGAGGAACTCTTCCCAGATCTCGCGATCGCTTGAGTACCGGTGAAGGTTCTGGAAAGCTGTCTGTCGTCCTACTTTGTAACTGGCCCGGCTGGAGGGGTCGTCAATACTGATCAGGTTGAGCAGGAGGCGCCAAGTGTCGGCCTCAAGTTGCAATCGCCGTATCTCCTCGTAATGTTTGGTGTCTTGCGATCCGCTCGACCGGAAGCCCGTCTTTGTCCGGTCAACAGTCTGCTGGGTCTCGATTTCCTTGATCGCATTGTTCGCAATGTCACGGTAGCTCTGCACGAGCTTGTAAGCTGCCTGGGCGCTGTTGAAATCGTCGGTTGAATTGTCGCGCTTGAACTGATCTAGCTTATCGGCGAATGCTTCGATTTGGCGAGTGACGCGGTCAGCCGTGCGGCGAAGGGGGTGCAGTGCTTCCTGGGCGCCTGCGGCGGTGAACAGCGGGGTGTCTGGAATAGAATTTAGTAAATGCGACCTAAAGAGTAGATCTGGAGACCAACCTTGAGATTTGCCCGAAATCCCAAAGGTAGACTGCATAGAGGGCTCGTCAGAAACATCGGACCTGGTCTCCGATACGGTGTCGCCATCCATATCTTCGTCCATATCATCTTGGTCTTCAGATTGGTCCTCCGATTGGTCTTCCGATTGATCTTCTGAGATTTGATCTCCATCCAATTCTTCCTCATCGAAAGATTGTTGCGAATCATCATCGATACTGATGACCTCGGTTTGTCTCTGGGGAACCTATACAAAGAATTAGACAAAAAGCAAAAAGCAAAGAAAATGACCGCACCGGTGTAAATATGGAGGCCCCAGCGGCCGATCGAGTCAAAGGCGCCATAATGGGAAGACTTTGGTTGGAAGGGAGCCCTGAAGAAGAGAGAGAGAGAGAGAGAGCTAGGAATAAGTTGTGTTTGTCTCTTTTGGTTTTCGTGACGGACTAAGCCCGAAATAGACTAGCGCCAACAGCAAAAGCTATTTCAACGAAATTTCGCCCGCGCCCTTCTCTCTTTCTTTTCTTTTCTTCTCTAATGTCTATAGGCTTTCATTAGAGTCTCGGTATGAAAACTCAATTTTCGTACAGGTCCATGAGGCCTCTTTGCGTGCTCACGATTGTCTTATAATAAATGCAGTTCTTCAATTAGCCTGGTTTCCTCCATATGGAAACTCAGACCGCAAAGGAATTGTGACATCTACCATTTTCGACATGGGTCACTTGAATTTTTATATAAAGTAATTTCTTCACTGCTTCTCTGCTGCTTGGGCTCGTTGTCTCATCTTCAACCGCAGCAAATTTGCTTTAGGGCAGCTGACGGTAGATGCCTGGTCACCTCGCTCTTGGTAGAAGGCATTGCAGCATTCGTACAAAGCGTCAATTTGTGTTTGGCACTTGGCCTCATCAAATGAGTTTTTCTGCAAGCAATCTAGCTTCGGTTAGGCTTTGTGTGTGAACATGCTATTGGAAAAATACCTTGGATGGCGCACTATTGCAGTGTCAGTAAGAGCTAGCAACACCCGTGGACCACTATAAAGGGACGCTTTAGGACAGGGACACATACAGCACGCGGATGGCAGGGTTGCTCATGCGAAAGATCTTGCTTTAAATTACCCTACAAGGGTCTCAGCATTTAGGCAATATGTTCAAAGTGATGATTTCCATACCATAATGCAATTATCAAAGATTGTACAAAGCAATGCTGTAGATACTGTTCCTTGGAAGTGACGAAAGTGATAGAAAGAGCCAAACGCAAAATAGATTCTCCGCCTTCAGACCGTGGGGCGAGTGTGCTATTCTGCCGCCGCCGCTGATCTCTCTTCTTCCTCTCTCTCTTCTAACTTCACCGTTTCCATAATCTTCGTTTTCTCGCTTCTAAGCCTTCGTCTTCTAGGTGAGTACCTCATAATTCAGCCCTGAAATGGAGTTGAAATCGCGATCTAACCATCTTTGAACGTTTTCAGACATCGAAAGCCCCGCTCGAAGAGGTTCTTGAACTCGCGTTTACCGTTGTAAGCATACTTCCTCGTCGCATTCCATACTCTGTGAGAAGTAGTCGTTTAACGAACTCTAGACCACAACATTCATCATCATGTCCGACAAAGAAGGCGCCGCTCCTCCTACCGAGCACCTTAACATTAAGGTGACCGATAACAACAACGAAGTTTTCTTCAAGATCAAGCGCACAACGCAGCTGAAGAAGCTTATGGATGCCTTCTGCGAGCGCCAAGGAAAGCAAATTTCCACTGTTCGGTTCCTATTTGACGGCACCCGAGTTCGCCCTGAGGATTCTCCGGAGACTGTACGGCCATTTCCCTCTCTTTTTCGCCCTCCATTGGTGTTTGGGAACTTTAAAACTGACTGAAAATAGCTCGACATGGCTGATGGAGATACCTTGGAGGTTCACCAGGAGCAGATCGGTGGCTGCTAGACCCGCTCTGCATGTTACAGTCGCACTTCCCGAGAACCGAGGCCGCTGAGGCGACATATGGGGGAATATGCTAGCGCTGTTGGCTAGCAGTGGATAGAGGATCCCAATTGACAGCCCATGGGCGAAGGGGCGGCGTTCATACTGCTTTTCCTTATTATGAATGATGATTATCAAAAGCCACCCAGTCTTCTCTGCAGACTTTAAGGGTGCTTTCGCTATATTAAATTTCCCTCGATTTCAACAAGACTGCATCACGTAGAAATAGTCTGATTTTGGCCCTAGGCTTCGTGTTTGAACCTAGGGCTTGTGCTAAACCAATGGGAACTTTCTTTTTCTGGAAACATGCAACTGTCGCAACACTTTGTCTCATTTATTGCCTTGAATAGCCTATGGGGTCTCAATGCAAGTTTACGCGTGGATATATACTATATTGTGCTGTGGACTAGGGCCTCCTATCACAAGTGGTCACCTCTAGCAAAGGAAATCGATTCCAGGGTCAAAGAACGCAACTGTCTCATCGGGGTCAATTGATGGACCACGTCTGGTTTAAATGGGCTAGTAAAGTCCAAGGCACAGGAAACAAACAGCCACCCGTTGCTTCATGCATGATAACCATGATACTCGCCATGCAGAGAGAAGACATATATATACAGCCCGATTCAACAGATATGTACACATATATAGAGCCAAAACCGCCTAATGTAGCCCCGAAATCCTCCCCAAAGTCACCTAACTGCTCCAAATAGAAGCCTTCATCTTCTCCTCCTCCTCCTTAGCCTTGGCCTTCTCCTCGCGCTCGCGATTCCGCCTCCGAATTTCTTGCTCTTTTACTGAGCGATCGTAAGCGCGCTGCTGCTCCGTCCGCTTCGGGGCGCGGATCCCCAACGCACCGGCAATCATCCGCTCCGCAACAGCAGTCTGTTTCTCTGGGCGACGGGCGGGAGCACCCTGCGCCGAAGCAGGAGAAGCAGCTCTCGCCATCCATGGAGCGGATGTCTGCGGGGAGATAGGTGTCGGCGGGGGATCTAGCGGCCCTTCGGCGCTGACGGTTGGCGAGAGCACTGGGGTAGTGTCTTCGTCATGGGGCTGGTCCTCGCCTTCCGGAGCGGAAAGGTCTGCTTCATCTTCCCAGGAGTCTGCGACGGGTTTGCGGGGTATCTTGGGGTTGGATGTGGGGGTTGGAGTCACGCCTGCTGCTGAGAGCTTTTTCACGTTTGGTCGGGAAACGTCCTGCACTGGGCCCTTTGCACCTATGGATAGGTTACGGAGAGCGGATTGGAGTTCAGCGCTTGGATCAGACATGACACTGGCACGGATCAGATGTAAAGGATAATAAATATAAAAGAGTGGTTAATGGGTGTATATACTCAGAATTTTAAAGAAGATTTGTGTCGTCTAGAAATAGAATTAATGGCGTCAGAGGGCATGGTCGATCGTGGAGAAGGGCTAGACCTTGGTTCGGCTTTGTGCCTCAGGATTGTCAGGCATCAATATCTCTTTCCTAGTTGGAGTATTAGTAACCATCAAAGAAAATGGCAGGAGTTGAGTGTTAAATAAAACAAAGAAGTGTTTTAACACTTTGATTTTTTATAAATGATCTCTAGAGCCCCTCCCCGACTATCATTCTTTTCCATATTGCAGAGCATATCCAAACAACATGAAGTACGCCATTGCTACCATAGTCGCCCTGGCCAGCTTGTTCAGCCAGGCCATCGCCCGGTTTGCCCATGGAATCTACACAATCGAGTCGCATACTGGGGATGTTTGGGCGATTAGAAACGCCACCGGTAGTAAAGCTCGGGTTGAGTTGGTACACCCGGAAGGCCACCAAACCGAGCACTGGTATATATACCCCTCCCAGTCCACCGGCTACGACCGCTTTATACAAAACGTCGGAAACGAGGGGATGCTCGCATGTTGGTTTGCAAATGGATACAAGTGCGAAGTGAACGGAGACGACGGACAGTTTTTCACAGTGCTCAGGTACCACAATCCAGCGATCAAGAATTACATCGGCAGCATCTTCGACCCCGCGGCCTTCAACCCATCAGGAAGTGAATCCCAGTCGGTAGGATCTGGGAAGGATCATCGGTTGATGGCTTATTCTGTGGAGTCAAAAGTTGATATGCATTTCGTTCTTAGGGGAGTCAAGAGCAAGTGTGAGTCATTATATTTACTTTGTTATTTACCTTTGAATCAATCTGATGTTTATCATGGATATAGAAGCTGGATGATGCGAGGCTTGTTCCTGATCCTTATCTGGGATTAGTGATGTTTGGTCTACAGCGTTGGGAAGATGAGGGATATTGACAGGAAGTTGGAGATACAATTCTATCCATGTACCCTACACATTACGTCAAGTAATTTATATACACGTAACTAGCTATGCAAATCTCTTTGGTTGCTTTATATACGAGGTGTCTGGTTGGCAGTTTAGCCGCTTTAGCTTGAATAACTTACCTCTAAACAGAATATCTGAAAATAACACCGAAGAGACCACCAAGGAGATATCGCAAGGCCGCATAAGCGGTCTACTATTCTAAATTTACAAGTTGCACACGATGGCCATGACTATACCTGGTACCGATGAGGAAAGTGCCACCAAACGTGAGAATTCTGGCGCCCCAACCGCGTGATCTATTCATACCTCGAATGTCGCCGGCACAAAATGAAATGCGATAGGGTAGTATACAAGCTCGGGGACTCCACCATGGTAATGTCTAACATGGAAGCACTATCAACCCCGTTGCACGCATCTTTCATCGACCCTCTTTTGCACATCGATATGAGACGTGGTGGGAGAATCGAAAACGGGCACCTAGTTTCTTCATCTTTAGGGGTAATTGTGTCTTCAGTTCTTTTCTCTGCAGTGATCGCAATGTCCGAAGCACTAGTGCTCGAATTCTGTCACACTCCTCCCTGAGAGGAGATGAAGCGAAGGTTGTACAGTGATACGGAGGCTACCCTTAGCAAGGCTAATATCCTTCAATCGACAAAGATTGAAAGCTTGCAGACCTTTATAGCGTATCTGGTATCAAATGAGCCACCTGGGTTTATTATATAGCCGTTCAGAAGTTGCATATACTAAAGATCATTGGTGTCTCAGCTTCCGATTTGTGTTAATGAGATCTCTCGGTCACACTATGTTTTGATCGGTATGGGAGCCAGGATAGTGGGGCTTATGGGACTTCATTGTAACCCCTAGAGTATGGATTCTCACTAGCAAAGTGCCAGACTCGACGCCTCGTGTGGTATCGAGTCTACTACCTTGATCTCAAGATAAGCGAGATCCGGACCCCGATCATTTATCACGAGGAGGAATATACCACACGGCTTCTATTGTATATCTCATCTACCTTATCTCTCCTGCCAAAGACACCACTTGCTTCCAATGATATGGGAGTCTCCATGATTTGGTTTGAATGCCAAGAGATGTAGTATCAGTTCTTGACGCTACGCAATTGAGTCGACCAGAAGAAAATTAGTCTCGCCAAGGCAACTTCCAAGAAGCCTTTCACCTGGAAAGTATGGATTTCCGAAATGTCCTAAAATCGGATTGTTATGGTTCCTTGTATACAATTCCTGGGACACATTATTGCCATAGTAACCACGATTGGCCATTTTAGAAAGAGCGATTAGTGATTGATTAAAGTGCCAGTAGGGATTAACTCCTTATAGAGACTTAATTAACTCAAGAACAGACAAAACCAAGGCTAAAAAAGTGTAAGAGATAATGAAGTGTGACTTAATAGCTAATAATTGACAGCAGGTGGCCTAGTGGTAACACGCTACGCGTGTGTACTACGAGGGAAGTGCCCAGGATCTTCCACTACCTGACTGTTCCGGTTCGATCCGTCGAAGTCGCGTTTACACTCTCTTTTTTTGCCTTCACCTTTTTCGTGGCTATCACTTTTCATCTTCATATTTCATCTTCATCGTCTCCAGATTATGCTCCATTGGCTAGTATACTTCGGACCGGAAAATTAATGCCCCAGGCCCACAATGCACGTGACTTGGATAATCCGATAAGCAATTTCCCCGGCAACCAACACAAAGGGAGATCTCCGACCCCGGACTCTGGGCGTACGATCGTAAGTAAAATGAACATTTTAGGTAACATGGTACGCCATTTGCGCTGAGTTATGAAAAACCATGATGAGCATATATCTATGACCAGGTTTTACCACCTATCTTTCAGGCTTTCTGTGGTGTGGTTTTCAGCTGTATCGGTATACCTCCAACGGCCACCTCCCCTCTGGCGGGGTTGACATACTTGAACCTGCGCTTAAAAGGCTCCAATCTAGCTGGAAGCGGTTATGAAAGAAGACAAAGGTGTATGTGCACACCAACAAATTGAATCATCTGCTGATCTTGGCATACACTTGCAAGGATTTACCATTGTATTAAAAGAGGCCTAGGCCACAGGGTTGCAGGGCGAAGAGAAATTTTAGCTAGGTAGTATGGAAGAAATCATATGATTTAATCTTAGTCCTTTGGGACCTAAGGACCTAACTAGTAGACATTAGATAAAGGTTACCCTGCAACCTTGGCTTTCATATGAAACGGATCTATCATGGCGAAGAAATCGCATAGATGGAATCCCTCAAAGAAATGTATAAATATCTTTCTTTAATGGATATATTGAGCGAGCATAGAAACTAGCCTTTCTTCGTGACTTCGATATGGAATACCCGATCATATTCACTTTCTCTATGCCAGAATAATGGTTGAAATCCGCGCTACAGCCGTCAAATGCACAGAGGTGACTCCTCAATGTCCAGTCGAGGACACTATCTATGGCTACGCGCCTGATATTGTGTTCAGCGTTGAATTTTGTATAATATTCGGTGTTTGTTCTCTGATACAGATCGGCCAGATGATCAAATGGCGCCTGTGGTCTTTTAGTATTGCCGTGATTCTCGGCTGTTTGACTGAAGTGATTGGTAAGTCAAACTACAACTCCATGAGAATAAGTAGTTGAGTGTCTCGTATAGTACTGACAAAAATAGGCTATTTCGGTCGTATATTACTCCACAACAACCCATATTCATCCGCCGGCTTCAAGACGCAGCTTTGCATGTTGACAATAGCACCGGCTTTCTGGTCGGCAGCCATATACCTGACGCTGAAGCATGGAGTAAACGTGTTTGGGCAACAATACTCGACATTGAGGGCGAAGTGGTATCCTTACATCTTTGTCACCTGCGATATCCTTTCGTTGATTCTCCAAGGCGTTGGTGGTGGCCTTGCAGCAGCAGGCAAAACACAAAACGTCAATGATATAGGCAGCGATATCATGCTGAGCGGAATTGTCTGGCAAGTTGTCACCTTGACGGTATTTGGGGTGATGTCGGGCCACTTTCTTCTTCGTATAAAAGGCGCCCCGGGAGATGGGATGACAGTTGAGGCCCGAAAAGTTTGGAACAGTCGCAGTTTCTGGGTATTTTTCTGGGGAATCTTTGTGGCATTTTTCACAACTTATGTTCGTTGTGTCTACCGGTATGTCATTCGCTATAGTATTTTGATATCCAAGTACTGATGTTGGGATTTTCAGTATCGCGGAAATGGCCGGTGGGTGGGAAAACCCCATAATGCAGGACGAAATTGACTTCACTATGCTTGAATCAATGTAAGCCGAACTTTGTCAAAACTGGTTGTTATGCATTTGAAAAGAACTGACATACGATGGATACTAGAATGTGCGCTATCGCTGTGATAGCACTATGTATCACTCCTCCTGGGTACTTTTTCCCACAAATGCGTGGTGATCACGCCGAACTAGCGAAGGAAGTGAAGGAGGTGAAGGGCCCTATTTTGCCAGAGCCAGAGCGAACATACACGTACGGGGGGTTTTCTGACTCTGGCGAGGCTACGCTTTCTTTTGCCTAGATATCTTCATTGCATCATGTCTGTATATTAATTAGACAAAAGTATTTTTAGTGACTATATGTAGCATTGGGAGTGAAGATAGATGTCGGGGGTTTTGTTTAATTGTTTGATTGTCGGAGCAGGTTTCTTATAATATCATTGAGATATATCAAGACCCCCAAGATCTACAACACGCAAGGCACAATGTCGCCTAGCAAGCTAGAACCGTCATTAAATCGTTGCATGAGATTGAGACAGAGATCTATGCTGATATGTTCTACCTAGTATAACCGCATATCCACTTTGCAACACTATAAAGCAGCTATTGACTTTTCGCCAACGCGATAACCTTCTTTGCAGCCTCCTCGAACCCATCAAATGCATGCAAAGGAAGGCCACTCTCCGCAATCTACGAATATTCAAGTTAGCAACTAAATTCTAGCAACGGATATCCATATCAATGCTTACCATCTTCTGCCCCAGTTCCTCATTCGTACCTCGCAGTCGCACAACCACTGGGACCTTCATCTTCAAATCCCGGAAAGCCAAGATAATACCCTCGGCAATCATGTCGCAGCGAGTAAGTCCGCCAAAAATATTAACAAAGACGGCTTTGACGCGCGTGTCAGAGCAAATCACACGAAATGACGCCTTGACAGTCTCCGAAGTAGCCTTGCCACCAGTGTCAAGGAAGTTCGCGCAGTGGCCGCCGTGGATAGTGAGCGCATCGACCGTGTTCATGGCAAGACCGGCTCCATTGACTGCATAATATTGTAAACAAATACCTTTTTTGAACGAGGCATAGCTCAAATACATACCAAGTGTGCCAATGCTGCCTTCACCTTCCAACCTACTGTATGTCAGCAGAGATACAGGCAAACACCGGGAGTTATGAGGGTGCTTCTACATACTTGACGTAAACAATTCCGTCCTTTTCAGCTTCAATTTCCTCTGGGACTTCTTCGGATATATTTCGAAGTTTGTGGATATCTTCCTGTCGACCTGAACTGCGGAATGCAGCGTCATCGAAGCCAAAACGCGCACCGTGGACCTCCAAAGCACCGTCAGCAGAGGTTTTAATCTGCGTCTCCAGTGTAAAGGCCTCCTTTTCCTTGTAAATTTCCCAAAGTGCTTGCACAATGCCTGCAAGCTGCTTGTGGGCAGCGACTGGGAGACCCAAATGCGAGGCAACGGCAGCGATGGTGGAGCTTTCAAGTTTGGTCTGAGTGTAAGGGAATGGAAATTTCTGCGACTGAGCTGGGTTAAAGTCGGAAGTCGGCGAGGCGATGATGCATGGTGACAACGCTGTTCGGTCGACTGCAATGGAAACAGAAACAGAACTATCAGAGCTGGAAGCCGACTCATTGACAGCGACAGATTTCTGCTTGAGGATATCGAATGCTTGGAACTGCTTGATGTACAGGTTACGCTTATGGTTGGGTGTTGGTCTCGAGATTGGCGTAACTCGTCTCATAGTATGAAAGTCACGTTTGTGTGAGCTAGTGCCGGACATTGCCTGCGGGTATGTCAGTATACCTGAGATCGGATTTAAAAAAATACACTCACACTTATACTCGGCCGGGTAGACTGGTTCGCAAACAAAGCTTTCATTCCTTCACCGAACTTCTCGGGATGATTGACCATGACCGCGCCAGCACGTTCAAGCGCTTGATACTTAGTTTCCGCATCTGGTTCCCCAGGCGCAGCCCAAGCACCAGCATGTCCCATAATCCGCCCAGTGGGTGCTTCCAACCCACCAACAAGAGCCATAATGGGTCTATCCAAGATCAGCATTTCATTCGAGAACCCCAGAGACCCCAAACTAGAAGACACAATAACGTACTTAGGATCAACAGTCCTCCGTCGATAGTCCTTAATCCACTCAGCAGCATCCATCTCCGCCGTACCACCAATCTCACCAACCACGATAATACCCCTCGTATCAGGATCATTCTCAAAGAGCGTAAGGGCATCGACAAAATTCGTACCAGCCAAAACGTCACCGCCCATACTAATACAAAGACTCTGACCAAGTCCAGCCCGAGTCGTCGACGCAACTGTCTCATAGCTCAGTGTCCCAGATTTAGCCACAATGCCGACATTTCCCGGCGCGAAGCAGGGTAATGGCTGGAAGCCGATTCGGCATTTGCCGATGGCGGATATAATACCTGGACAGTTTGCACCTACTAGACGGGTCTTGGATTGTGTTTGGAGCATGGAATGGATCTGTGATACTGTTAGAAAAAAGACGCTATTCAACTGGCCCCGAAGTGGTTAACTGCGAGCAAGGAAGCACTCATACCCGAAGGATGTCGTGGATCGGTACATGCTCTGCCACAGCTACGACGAGCGGGATTTCTGCTTCAATGGCTTCTTCGATGGCTTTGGCAGTCTGGTTTCCCGGAACATAAATTGCAGATGCATCGGGTTTTACCCGTTCTTGGGCCTAGTTGGTCATTAGTCAACTGGTCAAACATCCTCCCCAATGAGAGAACAATTAGTCTAATACTCATACCACTTTGACAGATGGAAAGACTGGTAGACCTAAATGTTCACCTTCAACGCCAGGCTTGACGCCTCCCACGATTTTAGTGCCCCATTCAAGAGATTCCTTGACATTGGCAGTCGCTTGTCTCCCTGTGGCGGATTCAGCATTCCATTGCGAGATCCGTCTCAATAAAAAGGCGAGATAATTACCCGTAAATCCCTGGAATAATACTCTGGTATGGGCGCCAATTTTGAGGTTTGGTAGAGTGTCCGCATAACTGGCGGTGCGGGGGGTCGTTGTGAAGTGCCTTGTTAAGGGAGCCCGCAACTGTGGCGCCCGTTTTGGCAGGGTGTGCAGAGTCATGACGTTCAAGGGGGAATACACATGCAGATTGGCACGGTGTATAGGTAGAATGAATTATATACAATATTTTCAAAAATATGTCAAGAAGGCTATTCAGCCAAGTCGGCTAATCCGGTGTCGGAGCTTTCCCCACATTTGCCGAGGGCCCTTTTTTATACTTCGCATAAATAGATCTAGGAGATATAAATTCGTATTTCGTTTACCGAACTAACTAGATACGACTCTCTTCTCAATAATCATTAAGATGAAGCTTCTTCCCCACAAACCTCTGCCGAGCAGGCTTCTCGCCGCGTTGTTCCCGTTCCGCATTGAGACCTTTAAGCGCGTGAAGAAGCATACCAGCATCAAAGAAGCCATCTAGTAAGATAACAAGTTAGCAAATCCGCAACCAAGGCGCCAAAGGGTGAAAGACTTACATCCTCCCATCCCATCATCCTCCAAATAACTACTATCAGCAGCCGAAGTAGGCGTATCAACACCCTGCGCACCCCCACCTTTAACAATCCTCCCACGCCGATGCAACTCGGACTGCGCACTCTCAGCAAGCGCCTCCGTCTCCCTCGCGCGACTAGTGCGCGGACTCGGCTTCCGATTCGTCGCGCGCAACAACTTCCGAATCTCAAACAGATACGACTCAAGCGTGTGCATCAGTCGCGAGGTCTGTCTGTGCTTGGAACTCGCGCAGATCGAAATCGAGTCATCCTTGATAATGTACCCGATACCGAAGCCGTCAGCAGATGTGGGACCGAAGCCGAAGTGTCGCAGACACGGGTTTCCGCAATTCGAAGTCGACAGCACGGTGTTGTTGATCTTGTCCCAGCCGGCGTCGGCGAAAATCGCGGGCGTTGGTGCTGTTGTACGGTAGGCGCGCGCGCTACTTCCCGGTGAGGAGAGACCGTCTTCTGAAGGGGAGGAGTAGGAGAGTTTCGATGATTCGGGGCCCTGGCTTTGGGTTGGGGATTGCGTTTCGCCGGGGCTGGAGTATCCGCCTGTTGAGCTGGTGTCTGGGAAGAGGCCTTCGTCGAAGGAGCGTTGCCAGAGGCAGTAGAGAGCGTAGAGGTGGCGGTCTGGGCCTTGGCCTTTTAAGCATTCCTTTGTGGCGGCGGTGTGTTTTTGGCATGCGGTGCGGAGGGCGTCGACTTTTTGTTCGGCGGCGTTCTCGCCCCAGAATGCTGTGACGAAGTCTATGCATTCGGGCGTTACGGTGCGCACTGCTTCTGTGCGTCCGTGCAGGAACATCTTTGTCATGGCTGGTTCGTAGGTGTTCTCGAGTCGGCCGTAGAGGCCGTAGTAGGCGGCCTGGAAGGCCATCTGGATGAATGCATCCGGAGAGAAGCCCATGGAAGTTATGAAGTTCTTGCCGAAGCCTTCGAAGTCCAGGACTTGGAATTCGTGTTGGTAGAGCAGGTCGGAGAGGTGAGATTCAGCGAAGCGGAGTGCGATGTTAAGCTCGGGTGTCATGTCCCATTCTAGTTTGCGCGGTGTTGTGCTGACGTTTCCGAAACTGTGCGGGTCACGCTTTGCTGGATCGGGGCTGCTGGTTGCCCATAGGCTTGGGGATTGGCCATTGATGGTCCTTGCGAAGCGGAGGATGGTGTCGGTGTACAGGTCGCTGGCAAATCGTAGCACTGTGTGGCCATCCACGCCGGTATGCTCGAAGTTGATACCTGCACTGCCGTTCTTGCAGACGATGATTTGCAGCTTGTCGTACCACCGGTTGGTGCAGGTTCCAACCTGCACACCCTTGATGACTTCGCTTGTGCCACAAAGCATGTTAGCACAAAGCTCAGCCGTAGTGGATGGCTCTGTGTCGTCCAGACATAAGACATAAAGTGCTGTATCGACAATGTTCAAACACTCCGCGTTGTTAGACCTAGAATCTTTGGTCATGATATCGCGTAACCCCGACCAGACTTTTCGATTCTCGGTGCTGAGTACACCCAAAGCACCCTTGGCAGCCTCATGAAGTGGAGTTTGACCCGCGTCCTCAATAATTACCTGCAGGTTAAGCGAGATATCCTTCTCACTCATGATCAAATCGCTATTATCATCCAAGACGTCAAACCAGTAAAACTGCCCTCGACACATAACAACCATGTGTTTAGCCGAGGGGTCCTGGCTAATGACACAGCCATTATCGGTAGGTAAACGTGCTGTTCCAAAAAGCCGCGAGTACTGATACATGCAAAGAGGCGTTCCTCGTACGGTATCAGGAGGCAGCTCCTCTCGACGCACAGCTCGAACAAATGCCAATGCCGAGATCACCAGTGACGCAGCTCGAGTCACCTGGTGATTTCTGGCGGGGGTTGGGTCGTCCTCCAAAAGGAAAAATGGATTGAGGTTCAAGACAACAGCTGCGAATATTAGATGACCGCAACGAAAAGGCCAAACACGAAAGCCGACTTACGATTATCGAAATTCAAGTAAGAATCATACCCTAGAAATGATCAGCTGACTACCCATCCCAACCTTGATTCAAAGCAGACTTACAAAATTGCTCAATATAGCTCGTCTTCGAACCAGCATAAGTCTTAAGCCGCTCTTGCAGAAGAGGACCATCATTCTTTAAAAAGTCGCGAACAGCAGACTTGGTCTCTTCATGCTCACGCGGACTTTGCAAGCCCTGCAGAGTATCCAAGTACCTGCGACAAGTATCCTCCAGATCGGGAATAGGAAGTTTAGGCAGTGAATCCTGGTTTGCAAAAGTCAAGCCCTGGCTCTTGGGCGTGTGAAGCTCAGCAACCTCAGAGGATGGTCGTTCAGTAGAGACATTTGGTCTCATGACCGTGTGACCTTGGGGCTCGGACCCAGACCTTTTGCTTGTGTCGGCGTCCATGGAATCACCGAGTGGTTTAGGGGCCGTGAAATATCTGACTGCCAATGAGGAGTAAGACATGATGTTAGATATGTTCAGGTTCTCTCGACAATATAAAATCAGGCGTAGCGACTAGCGAGGACGGTAGGAATTGACAGAAGGCGCAGAGCAGTGCGATAGAAGTAGTGGCAGTCTTGAAGGCAGTATGATGGCATTGAATCTATGTCATGTGCAGATGCCGACAGATGGGCAAGGAACCAGGGAATGAAAGAAGATGTATGGGAATAGACAAAAGCCACAGAATAAAGATCAAGCAGAAATATGAAGGAAATCAGGTGGCGTGAGACAAGTAGCGAACATGATAATCTTATATGGGCATGGGCATTATAGAGCGATCTCGACGGGCTGTGGATCCGGCTCGGGCCTAAGGGGAAATGGAAAAATAACATAGACCGAGCAATAGACTTACAGAGTACTGGACAATGCAAATGATATGCAACCCCGAGATGCGGGTTGGTGTGACCGGATGATACTGTGGAAGAGCGGAATGATAGCGCCGGAGAAACGGATGAGTTTCACTTCTGCCGTCTGTCAGATGTCAATTGCCAAGAAAAGAGCCCCGTGGACAAGTCATTTCTACAAGAGTCCCTTTTAAGTATCATGGGAGACTGATGGTTTGTAATATGTAGATATCACACCTTCGGCGGTTTTCATGAAGGATAGGGATAAAATGGTCTTGTCTTGGAAGGATGCCCCTCATCCGCCCGTGGGGGCGATTAAAGGGGAAATGATAGGATAGGATGCGGGATAGACTAGGCTAAGAACTTACTTCCAAGGTTAATGTCAATCACCGATGGTCCCTGCACGTTGCAGATATCTTGGCTTGGGGTACAAACCCGTTGAAGTTGAGAGGTCAAATAGCGCTTTAATAACGACAAGAGGCTTTGCGGGACCGAGGAAGTAATTTCCCGTATACCCGACACAGAAACTCTTCGGAATTGAAGTATATCGGGCATGGACTCTCAACTTCATGTCCCAATGACGTTTCGGGCGAAGGGACCGGTCATGCGGGGGAGCTTGGGGTCACGTGAACACATCGTCATAGTCCATACACAACTACAAAACCCTACTGAGGTGAGGATGCTGGGATAACTTCATTACATATGCTAGGGTTGTACACAGTACATCACGCTCGCAAAAGGAAAAAAAAATGACGCCAGAGATTTTGTTTATCCACAGGATGCACCGCAACACAGAAGTGGCGGAAAACAAGGAGTCAAAAAGAATATTCACAATGGAATAAGAATATCTGCATTGCCATGTGTCCTCCAAAGTAGAAGGACAAAGCACGCTTGCATACATACAGTATGGGTCACAATGGCAAAGACCCGCTCGGCCTCCGTCCTTCGAGAGCTTCCGAGCAGGATCACCGATTGAAGCAGGACATGCAAATGACGAAGAAGGTAAAAGACAAGAAAATAAATCCAGATGGCGCAAAGCCAATGGGGAAGACATAATGTTTAAGAGAGATAAGATCAACAGTCTTGGAACACTCCAAGAATCTCAGATGCGGCATTCTCAAAATCAACAGCTCCGTATATCCCGAGACATTTATGAGCTGGGCTTCAAGACGTTCTCGGCATAACCGCCGCCGACGTTGCCGGGGGAGCCGTAGTTGCAGACAGTGTATGCCCCCTCACCACCAATGTTCTTAAGATCAGCGCAGGTGACGGTGGCACAACCGACTTCAGTGGTGGCCTTCCAGACGATCTGAGTGAAGTGGCCCCAGACTTCGAAGTTGCTCATATCAGGGTTGGCCTGGCCGTAGAGGCTGGCAAAGTTGGGTGCCTCTCTGGTGTACATCATGTCGCTGATGATCTTCTCGCCAACGTCGGCCTTGTCGTAACCGTATGCGATGTTCTGACCGTAGGATCCACTGGCAGACTCAATGGAACTAGTAACGTTAGTATGATTGTTTCTCAAGAACGAAGGAATACTCACGTGTCATGTCCGTACTCGCAACGCGAGGCAAGAGTGTTCGCAGCCTTCTCGAGGTCGGTGGACCAGGTCAAAGCGGGGGAAGAGTGGTCGCTGCGGTGAATGTTGTGGTAGTGCAGGACGGACTCCTGGTAGGAGTTGCCAGCGCTGGGAGCGGTAGTGGCAGCAGCGGCGGTGGTCGAGCTTGCCGAAGTGGTAGCGGCAGCGGCAGCAGTGGTGGTAGCCGCGGAGGTAGCAGAGGTGGTCACAGCCTTGAGTTCGGCCTGGGTGGTCGAAGAGGAGGTAGTGGAAGAGGTGCTGCTGGGAGCAGCCTCCTCAACCACGGCGGCAGCGGTAGTAGAAGCGGCGGCAGGGGCGGAATCGATCTTAGCGGCCTTCTTGGAAACGTCGATGGGGAGGGCAGCCTCGGCGGGCTTGGTGTGGTGCTGCTTGACCACAACAGCGGTGCCGGTAGCGGTGGGCCACTGGGTGACAGTCTCAGTGACGGTGACGGTAGTCCAGTCGGTCACGTAAACTTCCTTCTCAATAACCTTGGCACAAGTGCCAACTGCCAAGGCAGCAAGGATGATAGCAGAACGCATTGTGGGATAGACAAAGAAACTTCTCCAGGAAGTTTTGTTAAGAGGGTCGGGATTGGTTCAAGCAGATCGACTGCGTTGACAAAGGAGTGTGAATTGAGAAATGAATGGACACCTTCTTTCTTCAAAGAGTGAAAGAAAGATAAGATGCTGAAAGGATTGAATGGCTTCGACAGAGGGAAGGGGGAGGTTTAATGAGTAAATAATGTAGAAAGGGGAGACCACTGGGTGGGGCCGTGCGTAGGAGATTAATTTTTAAATGAAAGTCCAAATGAACTTGAACTCCGGTAATTATTTTATAAATTGTTCTATCGAAATATGAAAAACTTCAATGGGGTCTCTCCTATACTTATTGTCTGGGGAATTTCCAACCTCTTGAGAATTGTAAATACCTCAATGTGGCACATTCTATTGTACATTCCAAGTCCTAGATACCACAACTGTGAGGCTGGAGATTTGGACTAATCAAATATTCTCCGGGATTTCACCTGCAATTTCGTTTGGCAGATTAAGGATATGATGATGTGTCCCCTGGATGTGTTTACTTATCCCCTGGATCACCGTGGACCTCTTAAGTCCTATGGAGTACGTACGCTAGTTAGAAGAGACAAAGGTAATTAAAAGCGCCATGGGTTTCCATAGAAAATCTAGATGAGAAAAAAACCCCCCAAAGGTGGAAAGGCATAGATCGTAGCTATGATCGTAACGGGACAGCCAAGCCCCTTGTCCAGGAACAGTTTCAAAATTATCCACTGTGTAGCTTCAATGACCAATCAGATCTCATTGACAACCTTGGAACTTCTCCCCACTGGAACTAAGAAAGTTAGTCTACTCGGGCGGATCTGAGATAGATTGAAGCAATCAACCTCGTTTCAGCCACTCATTTAAAGCGGGAATACAGATTCTGCGGACTACACCGGAGTAAGTCGCAATCAAAATGAGAGAGTATCCTGCTTTCTCCTGGGTTTTAGGAGTATCCTTTAATATTTTGTTTACATACCGCCCTTATTGATAGTGGAAAAGTGAGTCCAAGGTTGAAACCTGGGAATATCACGGAACAACCAATCAGAGACGGAAAGAGCCCGGGAGCGTTGGCACACTCCATGGGTCATTGTGGGACAGGGCGCCTAGCTACATCGCCATACTATATGTGCATACATGTAGGGGAAAATCCAAAACATTGTATTCTGTTTAATCTGTCTCTGCCGTATATTATACAGACTCGGTAGATTCTAGTTACCTCCACATTTCCGGCAGTGGAAGCCCACAGGGTCCAAAGTCCACAGGGGCGGCAGGAGATCCGCTCTGAAATAACGTAAAGCGTGACCCATCCAAGAACGCCACACATAAAAACACCCCTGATGTTAATATCGAAAATATAGCAAAAAAAAAAAAAAAAAAACCATAGCGCTAGCCTAGAGATCAATAGTTCGGCATTGCCCAGCCTCACAAACCTTCAAGTAGTTCTTGGCCGGATCGGTGGCCTTTAAATCTTTAAAGAGCGCATTGCGGGATTTGAGCCAGAAGGATTGGTTGCCCACAAAGTCTTTCAGATGGGAGGGGCGAATGTCGACAAGCGAAGTGACCACGATAGATGAGGACACGGCCACGCCGGCCTCCTCCCGGATCCGCCGTCGGATTATGTCAATCGTCGACACAGGCTCATCATTCCGACTGAGGAGACTGTCACCACGTGGATTAGGGATAGAGACTTCCGCGGTGGAGAACACACCCGTCACTGTGCGAGTGCCAATCTGGAGGCCTACAATCACGTCCAGCATTCCTACAAACAGGAAGGGGTGCTGGATGATCTCCACAGCGAAGGTGTTGCACGTTTCCCGGGCCAAGGTCCGATAACTCTCATCCTCGAGCAGAGCGGACAGGCGTAGCAGATTACGCGCAATGACTCCGTTTACCGAAGGTGTTGCGGACTCGGTACCAGTCTTCAGACGGAGGAGGGGGCTAGGCATGCCGGGGGTGGTGACTGAAGGTGTACTGTAGTATCCGGTAGTTGTAGAGCCACTCTGGGCCAAGAAGTATTCATTGAGGTACTCTAGAATCACCAAGTTAGCCATTGTTTCCCATTCAAATCAAAGGGGTTATTCTCACTTTGCAGTCGTTCGGCAAATTGGAGATAGCTGTCATCGTAAGTAGCCTCGTACATGTCGAGCAGCCCGCTAGCCAAGTATGCGTAGTCATCAGCGAAACCTGGGGTGTCTCCATGACTTCCATCGCGGTAAATACGCCATAGCTGCCCTGTGGCTTTGTCGAAGAGCTTGTCCTTAATGAAGCTGATTGCCCGTGCTGCCGCTTCGCGACACTGCACAGCCTTGGAGCTCTCGATATCCTCAAACAGAACACTACACTTGGCAAGCGCACCGATCGCCAATCCATTCCAGGCCACGATAATCTTGTCATCCAGGTCTGGCCGCCCACGTGTTCGCTCGCGGTAATCCTGCAACTTCTGCTTTGACGACTTGATGATCTTAACCACCTCTTCCTCGCTAAGACCAAAGTCTTTAGCGAGTTTGCTCGGTGTGGCGCGGATGGACAACACGTTTTGGTTCATGAACTCATCATGCGGGTCGTACTCGGGTGGGACATTACCATCAGGGAGAACACCCCAGTGTTTGGCACAAACTGGAGCATCCCGAGGGCCGAGGACTGAAGTAAGTTCTTTCAACGACCAGACATAAAAGGCACCCTCCCGCTTTTCGGTGTCATTTGGGTGAGGGTAACTGTCCGCATCTTCTGAGGAAAAGAACCCTCCGGTGGGCGACTGTATCGGGTCGCTCGTCAAGTAGGCAGCCAGATCATAAACAGCGCCTAAAAGTTCGGGGTCATGAGTGAGTCGGAAAGCGTCCACGTAGACATCTAATAGCTGTGCCTGGTCATAAAGCATCTTCTCGAAATGAGGGAGACCCCAGTCCGTCGTCACGCTGTACCGTGCAAATCCGTGGCCAATGTGGTCCCGAATGCCACCACGAGCCATGTTCACTAGGGTCGTAACGGCCATGGCGGTTGCTTGTTCACACTCATCATGCCCGACAATATCCTTGACCTGAGTCGGGTAGGCACCGACCCGGAGTAGAAAGCTGAGGTTAGACGGCGTAGGAAACTTAGGTGCGCGGCCAAACCCGCCATTGGCCGAGTCGTATCGAGATGCGAAATGCTGATACGCTTCTTCTAGAAGCTCAATATCCATTTCCTCCTCTTTATCGTTATCGCGATCACTTTGCTGCGAGTGAGTCCCTTCCTCGGCAAACTCTTTCAATTGTTTGGTGATTTCTTTAGCGCTGTCGAGACAACGTTGCTGTTGTGTCTGCCAGACATCTCTCAATTTTTCTAAAATCTCCACGAACCCGATTGCCTCGGGGCCCGTAAATGTGTTTGAATTTGGGCCTTGCCAGTAGGTGCCCCCAAACACGGGCTCGAGGTCAGGAGTCAAAAACACATTCAAGGGCCAGCCGCCAGAACCTGTTGTGGCCTGGACATAATTCATGTAGATGTCGTCGATATCTGGTCGCTCTTCGCGATCAACCTTGATCGGGACGAAGGACTCGTTCAAAATCGAAGCCACCTCTAATGACATGAACGATTCTTTTTCCATGACATGGCACCCTAGTCAAAGTTAGAATACCAGTACCCCCAGTCAGATAGTTGTAACTTACAATGACATGCGGAGTAACCGATACTGAGAAAGATTAAACGGTTGTGCTTCTTGGCAAGCTCCATGGATTCTGCATCCCAGACTTGCCATGCTACCGGGTTGTTCATATGTCCTCGGACCTGTTGTTTTATGAGCATGTTGCAGTTTCATCGGGGGGGGGGGGGGGGACACATCTCTCACATAAGGGGATTTGCTTTGCTGTAACCGATTGACCATTTTTGGGCCCGTTTCGGGTACACCGTGCCGCGGATGTGCGTGGTTAATCGAGGCGGCCATTGTGACTTTCCAATATTTTTGCTGGTCGGAGCCTAGAGGTCCGTCAGCCCGAAGCCCCGAGGCCCAAGAGGGGTTACTAACGGATTCCGGCAGTATCCAATTTTAGAAGCTACCCCACGATCGAATCTTAATGGGATATAAAGTAGCTTGTGGCGCAAATAATATCTCTTCACTGGGGAGACAAAGGGGATGGAGCGTGTCTTCAAGAACAAAGTCGTGTGCGGGCCATCCTTTAGGCGGGGGAGTCGAGGCGAAGGTCGTGGACGCGGGAGATCGGCCCTGTGCGTCATGGCTGCATCAGGAAGGTCACGTGAGTACTATACGGTTGCAGGTGTGTATATTATTGTAGGTTCTGTATAGTCTAGTCTATATTGTATGTTATTCGGTGCACTGCACATGTAACTGCTAGATATACACATGTTCAAAACACAATTGGGTATCACATCATCTAATCGTCTCCCATTAGCTCTGCCAACTCTGCCTCTTCCTCCGCCGTGAGCATTGATTCAGCTGGCTTTTCCTCCTCTTTCTTCTCCTCTTCCACGGGCTTCTTTGCAAGTTCAACTGCCTGTTGAAGCTCGTCGGGTCGAAGGGACCATTGGCGAATGGTCGCATCAATTCCTACGCTGACAATGGTTGACCCCACAAGCACCAGCCCAGTGACCTCCTCGAAGTGTCCAGAGAAAGTATGATAGAGTGCTCCAGTCTATTCTAATTAGCATTTATCCTATATAAACACCGAAAAATATAGAAACACTTACCGATCGGTTCCACACTCTAACTTCCTCGTCCCGACAGGCAGTCACAACCCAGCCTCCCGTTTCATAGACGACAATATCTCGGACAAAGTCGGGATGTTCTAGTGTCAGATTGGCCTTCCACCCATCCTCTCGAACCAAACATTTGGCAGTCTTGTCAGCCGAAGCAGTCCAAAGATCACCGTCATTATCGAAAAAGAGCTTGTAGACACTGGTCTCATGTGGAAGGAGAGGATCAGTAGTACTGCCCCCGCCAAAGATACTGAATTGGCGAATCTCCCGATCACTTCCAGCACTGAATACGATTGGCTGGGTGGTCTCCGATTCTGGATCAAGGGCAAGGTCCTGGATGCCGCGAGAGTGACCCTTGAAGGTCTCCAGCCGCTCACCGCTCGTGATATTGAACACCAGGACTTGTGCATCGGCACCACCGGAGACGAGCAGATCATCTCCAAGCAGTCTTGCACTGGTGATTGTTCGAACAAAATCGGCATGGCCTTCGTACTTCTGACGTTGCTGGCCCGTAGCCGTGTCCCAGCTCCAGATAGCTTTATCCCAGCACCCGGCAAACAGGAGCTTGCCATCAGGACTCAAACAAAGACAAGTAACGGGGGCCATAGGACCTGTGAATACCCTAGCTGTCTCTCCTGTCTGTAGTCATGTGAGAACTTGGGGATTTTGAGACGGTTTGAGATTACGGGTGCACTTACGGCAAGGATGATCCTTCTCACAGTGCCATTGCTCTGCGCAACATAAATCGAGCCAGTATTCCAGGGGTCTGGATGAGCCGCTAGGATCTTGCCTTGTAGTCGAATAGGGTTTCCATTGGTATTCTGGGCCTTGGCATCTTTCCGCTCCTGATCATCCAGAGATGCGCTATAAGGGATGTCAGTTAACACTTTTCAATTCAAAGACCAAAGAATTGTTTTGACTCACGATGTCTGAAAGAAATGATCTCGATTCGAAGATGTCGTCATCGTGTCTCAAGTCACTAAAAATCAAGTCAGACGTCAAAAGCAGCTCTCGTTTTTCCCCATCAACTTCTCCCCCGCCAACTCCAAAATTGCTATCCGAGCTCACATCGTCCACCGTAGCCCGCACTCCTCCACAAAACCACAGAATTTGCGTTTCCTCTCCCTTCCCTTCTCTTCCCAACCTCCTATCTCGTCTCTTTGAACCTCTACGTTTTCCTTCTCATTCCCTCCGTATCCTCCCCTTTGCTTACCCCGCGCGATATCGCGCACAGCTGCCATGGAAATGAACCACCTCATAGGGTCAGTCTGAACTTGTTCGGAGCCAAGGTGGCCTGGAGTTAACATTTGACAGTCAGCGTTTCAACCTGATCTCGAAAAGTGACATTCGGTGAGTCTATCAGAATCTCTCCATTGCCTCGTTCACAATTAATTATCATTCAGCTATGTCGGTACTCTTCACGAAATCAACCCCGAAGCTTCCACGATAGCTCTTGAGAATGTCATGTCATTCGGCTCAGAAGGGCGTCGTGGCAACCCCGCCGAGGAAGTCCCTCCCTCCACCAGTGTCTACGAGTACATCGTCTTCCGAGGAAGTGATGTGAAGGACATCAGCATTGCTGGGGAGGACCAAAAGGATCCCGCACCGCAAGAACCACCTCGGGTACCAGATGACCCTGCTATTCTCGGGGTAAGTCATCACCACACCTCTTTCCTCGATCTGCCGCGTCATCCCGCCCAAGAAATCACCACCCATCGTTTCGGCAAATTGATCAAGTGACGAAAAATTCTCGGATGTAAACTCACAGACCTGTTCTGAATGCGCAAAACCGTGTAGAGATTTCCGTTGCCTTCCTTCTGATGATCAATTCCCCATCTTGGACTTGTTTTCTGTGTCGTGTATACAGTGTGCTAACTAGCGCAAATAGGGCGTTCAACGACCGGTTCCCGCCCAAGGGCCTGACTCGGGACCTGCTCCACCGAATCTTCCTCCCCAGGGCCCTCCACAGGGCCCTCCCCAGCTTCCCCAGGGAGCTGGCCCGACTCCTCCCGGTTACCCCCAGCAGCAACAATTCCAGCAAGGCTACTACCCATCCTACGGACAGCAGCGATTTGGACCACCTCCTCCTTTCCCTCCCGGTCCCGGTTTCCCGCCCTACGGTGCTCCGCCCGGATGGTACCCACCTCCGGGCCATGGATTCCCCCCTGGCCCTGGTCAATTTCAACCCCCGATGCCTATTGGCCCTGGTCAGCAGCCTGGACCTCAGCAATCCGGTCCTCAACAGCCTGGACCCCAGCAGCCTGGAGCTCAGCGCCCGGGGCCTCCTGGTGCCGCTCCCGCACCTAAGTCTACCTCTGAACTCCCGGTCGGAGACAAGGTTGCCAACAAGTCTACGAGCCGTAACGCAACCCCCGCTGCTCAGAACGCTCCCACTCCTCCAATCGAGTCCAAGCCTTCTGTGGCTGAAGCTTTGCAAGGTCCTGTTAGCACTGCTCCTCTGACTGCTGTCCCTCAGAAGAATGGCCGAGTCATGCCAGCTATCCCAATCGCTGCTCCAAAGCCTGCTCCTCCGATCGCCCACATTCCTACCGCCCCTCGGGGAAACAACCAGTCTATCACCGATGCCACTGCGGCCGCCACTGCTGCCGTTGCTGCTGCCATGGCCAAGTTGCCGCAGCCCGGTGCGCAGAAGCAACCCGGACAACCCGAAGGTGTCGTGGACGCGCTTGCGCAGCAGATGAACCACATGCGCCCTTACGACAACACCCGTCCTCCTCGAGGCGGTCACCACCACCCTCGTGGTGGACGCGGCGCTGCTCGTCCTCAGCAGCAGCCCAAGAAGATCGAAGTCCCCCAATCGGATTACGATTTCCAAACCGCCAATGCCAAATTCAACAAGCAGGATTTGGTGAAGGAAGCCATTGCCACCGGAGTTCCTGCTGCTGAGGCTGAAGTTCACGCAGCCGAGGAGGCGGAATCCATGGAATCCATGTCAAATGGCGGTGGCTCTTCGCACCATGGCTACAACCGCGGTTCTTCCTTCTTCGACAATATCTCGAGTGAAGCTCGCGATCGTGAGGAAAACACCGCTCGTGTTGGTGGTCGCGAATGGCGCGGCGAGGAGGAGAAACGCAACATGGAAACCTTTGGACAGGGTAGCGTTGATGGCTACCGCCCCAACTACCGCGGTCGTGGCCGTGGCCGTGGCCGCGGCTATGGTCGAGGTGGAGGTGGAGGTGGTTACAGTCGTGGCTACGGCCGTGGCCGCGGCGGCCGAGTCACCTCCGAGTCCACTGGTGTCCCATCCCAGGGTTAATCGAGATCTCTTTTTCTGATTACATGTCCTTCTAGCGATGATTGCTATCTTGTTTTCATATTTGGGGTGGCAAGACTATGACCGAAACGAATAATCACGCTTGAATCTTTTCTAGTCTCTTCGGCGCAATGGCAAACTGGGGCCGGGGGCATACTGGGTTGATCACACGATACTTCCTGCGACAGCAATTATGGGTGTTTCTTTGTGTTTATTGTTATCTCTTTTTTTTTTCGTCTGACACGCATACCCTTTCTGCAGCGTCTTCTGAAATTCCTGGATCCGGTGGATATTTCCTTTTCGTGCTTTCACTGCGCAGAAAGTGGCCAATGCACCACGATCTCTCGTGCTCGACATAGAGCAGATATTATTGTGTGTACACCATGAGGGAAAATTCCCTCGATGACCTAAATGAAAAAGGCAAAAAAACGAGGTCGAATGGCCTACGATTATGTTTCTTCTCTCGTAGATCTATGTAAACAGTGTAGCGTAATCCATATCATACTTTCCAACTCCCAATTCTACTTTGTACATCCACCAACTTCAAGATTCAAACGTCATTCTGTGGCTCCCAACTAAAGAGAAGTCTCTCCGCATATCCCCCAAGTCCAGGACTCCCCGAACTTGATACAGATATCGTGCCTTTGCCTTGGACTGTACGCTGTATATTCCTAACACAGAAAGAGGAACCTACCCACAGTTTGATCTATGTATCCATATATCCCCCGATGTAGCCGAGGTTCAACCTCGGCATGCCGCAATTGGCAACATTCCAAGATCCAAATGGTGAAGCGGGACAAAAGAAAGATATAAGGAAAGCTCTCAATATCTAATTGGCAAGCACATCCCGACGTATGAGGTGCTAGGCGTCAGGTCCACCTTCACACAAATGCCCCCTTTTACTATGAATTAGCCCCGCCATGTGGTAGTTACACAATGGAATGGGTTTAAACCCTTCTCCCTGTTTCTAACAGTTCTCCTCCAGACCCCTTACCATATCAAGCTGCATTGAGAATAACATGTCTTCCACCCAAGTTGCCGACCAGTTGCCCTGGAATCCTAACAACGCCCAGTTCCCTTTACGGAAAGATCTTTCAAAGATATCCGGTGCACCCGACGGTGCTGCTTGGGTCTGGGGCAAAGATGATGAGGTGTGATGCTGCAGTGCCCTACTATGTTCTGTTCCTATGTGGCTTATCCGCCTGATGTGTAGCTGGGCAGATTGAACCTCTTGACGCCGCAACGGGTCAAGGCATCTGCTGCTGAGATTGAGACTGGCGAGATGGTTCGACTAGAGTAAGTGGACTACAAGACTAGACTGGATCATGACCTCTGCTTACAAGTATCAACACCAAGCCTTCCTCTCACGGTGCCTGAGCAGCCGGCTTTGGGCCGCGAGGTGTTCCAGCATAACATCAAAACGCTTACTGATGGTATTATTTATGATGATACATACATTATGAACACGCAGAGCGGGACGCAGTGGGATGGATTCCGGCATGTAAGTGATGATTCTCACTAAAGTAATCAAAACCACCACCCATATCCCTTTCTAACATGTCCATAGTTCGCCCACATCGACAGCAAGTGTTTCTACAATGGGGTACGTACCAACCTCCTATTCCAGTCTCCGTAAACTAACCCATCAATGCTAGGCCACAAGCAGCGACTTTGTAGGCGAAACCGCAAACCACCGCTGCAGCATCCACCACTGGGCAATGCACGGAATCGCCGGTCGAGGACTCCTCCTAGACTACTACCACTACGCCCAAACAAACAACAAGTCCTACGAACCCTACACAACACACATCATCACTCTATCCGAGCTTCAAGCCTGTGCAACCTCACAAGGTCTAGATCTCCGCCCGCAGTCTGAAGGCGGCGAGATCCGCATCGGAGACATTCTCATCATCCGCTCGGGTTTCGTGGATCGATACTACGAGCTCAGTTCCGAGCAGCGGTATAAAGCTGCCACACGGTCCCACGAGGACGTGTGCTTTGCGGGACTGTCGCGCGAGCCAGCTCTCCGGGACTGGTTACATGATTGTTATTTTGCGGCTGTGGCGGGTGACTCGCCGACGTTTGAGGCGTGGCCTGTTCCTGAACATGATTATTTGCATCAGAGCTTGTTGGCGCTGTGGGGGTGTCCTATTGGTGAGATGTGGGATCTGGAACGGCTTGCTGAGAAGTGTCGGGCTAGGCGGAAGTGGACTTTCTTTATGACTAGTGCTCCGGCCAATATGCCTGGTATGTATCTTTTCTTGGGGTTTTTGGGCTATGCTAACGGGTTGTTAGGGGGGTTGGTTCCCATGCGAATGCTACTGCCATTCTTTAGATCAGATTTGTGGTATATTGAGGGTATTTAGATGCTATGTACCATCCGACTGTCGAAGGTGAACCTTGTCCACCAACTCTGGTCTTCCAAGGCTGAATATAAACATATTGTATTATTCAAATATATACCTAACTCTGACCAGGTATGTCCTATCCAAGAAAGGAATAATCATTAGAGAAGGATCTGCAATTTCAGCGTGTGACTCTTTCAAGTCCCATTTTAACCTATAGGATACTATCCCGTCTCTCCGGCTAAACCTCGGGTTAGCAACTCCGCATTTCTCCACGTTTTGGCCGCTTTCGATATATCGAACTTCTTCTACTTTAAGGCAACCCCGGGCCGGATTGCCGTTTCTCGTTAAAAAGAGGGTCCAATCCGATCTTATAGACAAATTCTCATATTTCATCCATCTTTTCATCATGAGCACCCAGACGCAAACAGAAACAATCGTGCTACAGGCAAGAGCTTCCACAGAAGCGATTCCAGTCGAGCATGAGACATCCGACTCAAGCCCCCCAGAACCAAAATGGATGTATGCCAAAATTCTCAGCGCAGGTCTATCCTTTTTCGTAGCGGGAGTCAACGACGGAAGTCTAGGATCGCTGATTCCCTACGTGATACGCACCTATGACATCGGCACAAACATGGTAGCCGTCCTGTAAGACCAGACCAAGAATATCCATCTACAAAACAACACTAACACCCACCAGATACGGTACAACCTTCTTCGGCTGGCTAATTGCCGCCCTAACCAACGGCAAAATACTCCAGTACCTAGACCTAGGTCTAATTCTCTGCCTAGGCGCCGCCATCCAAGTCCTATCCCAAGTACTGCGAGTCTGGCAACCTCCATTCGCACTATATGCAATCACATTCTGCCTCGCCAGCTTAGGTCAAGCCTACAACGACACCCACGCTAACACCTTCGTCGCGGGGTTGAACGGTGCGCACCGATGGCTTGGCTTTATCCACGCTATGTACATGGCCGGGTGTCTGGTTGGCCCTTTTGTAGCGACGGGCGTGGCGTCAGCGAACGTCGATTCGAAGTGGTATCTGTTTTATCTCTTCCCGCTTGGCGTGGGTGTGGCGAATCTTGCGTTTGTGGGTGTTTCGTTCCGGGATCGTATGGCTACTCCGACTATTTTGAGGGGGGAGAGGGGAGGAAGGACGGCTTCGAATCCTGCGCTTAAGGAGATTAAGGATACGCTTTCTACACCTGGGGTTTGGCTGTTGAGTTTGTTTTTCTTTTTCTTTCTTGGTGCTAGTATTACCGCTGGAGGTTTGTCTTTGTCATTTTCTCTACGTTATCTACGGAACTGATTATACTAGGTTGGATGGTCGAGTACCTTGTCAACGTCCGCAACGGTGACGTCAAATCAATGGGTTATGTCCCAGCCGGCTTCTATGGCGGAGCGTTTCTAGGACGTCTGATCCTCGCCGAGCCTACGCATAGATTCGGCGAGCGCAGAATGATCTTTATTTACGCTGTGCTGTGTGTGGGGTTCCAGTTGGTATTCTGGCTGTGAGTTTGGCATCTCTAAGAGTCCCATCTATATCCCGATGGGCCGATATCTTGCTTGCTTTTTACTAATACTGGTTTACTAGTGTTCCAAATATCATCACCGAAGCAGTAGCAGTCAGTCTGTTGGGATTCTTCTCTGGTCCTTTCTTTGCAACAGTAAGTATCCGCTCTACTTTCCTAATCCCAATAATAACCCCTGTCTTAGGGTATTTCCGTCGGCTCAAAAATATTCTCACCAGAGATCCGCTCTTCGGCAATCGGTAAGCCCCCTGGAGTTCGTGGGGCTGAAAATTCATTTAACCTTAACTCACATAGCATTCGTCTTCGTACTCGGTCAGATTGGCGGGTCTGTCTTTCCCGCTTTGACAGGTATCATCGCGGGACATGTTGGTGTCCAGGTCCTACAGCCCATGCTGGTTGGTTTACTCGGTGCTGCTGGCGTGAGCTGGTTAATCTTGCCTAAGGATCCTGCGTTACATCAGGATTGATGGGTCCGAGCTTAATGGTAGACGGGGGGTTCGATTAGTAAAGAGACTTGAGAGACATCCATGGATATTATGTGGAATCTTGTATAAAGAGCACAACTTTCAGGGGCTTTGAGAAGATGAGATCCTATCTAGAAGACAATATAGTTAGTAACTGATGTTGCATACCCCTTTTCACCAAAATATTAGTCATCTGCTTATATTTGGGCAACTAATTTCCTCGAGGTCCGTCCAGGGTCACACTTAGAAACTCTTTTCCTTACGGGGCTGAAGCGCACCAGACAATTGGCGTGCCAAGGCAAGAATGTCTTATAATTTTCAAGCTAAGAATCGCCCCAACGCCTTGAAAATGGGGTAATTTATTGTCTGACTCCCTTTACTTTGCACTTCTTCTCAACATGAGATAGACACATCTCACTTAAAAACATCATTCTACAATGCGTCAGTCGCTTATTACAGCTCTGTGGGCATGGTCCAACTGGGCCAGTGCCAGTGCCGACATATTTTCTGTGCGCGACGTACCTGCAGTCGTTGGCATGGAACTCTATGGCCGTGAAATATCCAGGCCGCTAATGAAAAGAGACACTGCTACTCTAGGGGCGAACATGGCCACCTATGTACGTTCAACTGGAACATCACTAGTTAAGATTGAATTCTCATATCTATACAGTTGTCAAATTTTGTCAATATCTCGATTGGCACACCACCGCAGCCCATGGGCATGTTGGTCGACTTACTGACTGAGACAATCTCGATCATTACCGAGGACACACGTGTGACAAAGCCCGAATGTCAGGAGAATCGCTATTGCTCCTTACTTGGATCATACAATATCACCGAATCGTCCAGCAATGGCACCAAAGAAATTCCGAGTCAATTATCGTATGGAAGTCCCTACACGGTACCCACTGACACTATCACTATTGGAGGGACACAAGTGAAGGATGTCGAACTAGAACTTCAGGGCGTCGGATATTACAACTGTTAGTATATACTCTCCATATATGATCGACTTGACCTAATCCAATTCAACAGGGAACTCGATAGGTCTATCTGCGGATAACACGTCATTTCCCTATCAGTTAGTCGACCGGGGCTTGATCCGATCCCCCTCGTTCAGTTTATGGGGCAATACATCCGAAAGCGGAGGGGCAGGGCTACTCTTTGGCGGAATCAACAAAGCCAAGTATCACGGCCCACTACAAGCCTTCGGTTTTAACAAAACATACGGAACCGTGTCCCTCCCTCTCTCAAGATTCCAAGCCCACACAGACTCAAATATCCCAACAAATTACACCCTATCTAGCTCCAAGCCATACATGCTAAGCGCTCAATACGTCACTACAACCCTTCCCAAGGAAGCCGTTCTACGGCTGTATAAGGACTACAACATCTCCTTTGAGGGCTGGGACGGCGAAGAGCCCCAATTCGGTCTACTCCCATGCTCCCGAAAAAGCGAAAACCATACGATCTCTCTGATTTTCGGAGACGCCACTATCTCCGCAAAATGGAGTGATTTCTTCACTCCATGGGGCTCCGCTGACTCGGAACGCTGTAATTTCCTCATCCAACCGGAAGAAGAAAATGTGAACGCAACGTATTCCGGTACAATCGGGACCATGTTCTCGGACCGTATGTATATGGCCATCAACTACAACAATGCTTTTGTTGGGATCGCTGCGTTGAATGGGAATCCTGGGCCGGATGATATTATGGAGATTGGAGATGGCCCTGAGATCCCGGATGCTGTGGGTGATTTCCCGACTTCTATTGTACCGTACAAGAAACCGAAACCGACGGTGTCGACGTCGACGTCGACGTCGACGGGACTGGCGAGTATGCCGACTTATATGTCGGGTGGTATGTTTGTCGGTGTTGCAGGGGCTGCGTTGGTAGCGGCGTTTTGATGCCATTTGAATATATGAACTTAATGTATTCTGTTTTGTCTCATAAGTTATCTGTATTGAGATTGAGATATCATTGTTGTCATGTTAGCTGGGTTAATGTTATGTGCCACTATATAAAGACATGTCCTAGAGAACAAAGACTAGGAGAGTTTATTAGCTTCTTGGATGCACTTGATCCGCGTCTAGGATGTATTTGTGAGAGCTACTATTAGCATGCAATAACGTTCTAGGAGTATACAAGGCACCAGGGTATAGAACATATGAAATTCATTAATTCGTTACATCACATCGACCAAAACCATCAAAAAGAAACCCAACCCAATGATACACACCTCGCATAGCGATGCAAAAAACTACCCAACATAAAAAACCTCATAAACATCATTCCTCGTAAGAAAATAAATGGAAAACCCCTCAGAAAATATCCTCAGGCCACTGGTAATCTTCAAGACCAGAAATCACAGAATCCGCACCAGAAGCCGAGGACGGAGAAAGCACCAGAGCAGACACAGGTCTCTTTTTAGGCGACCTATTCACATTGACATTCACCTTGGCAGCACTCGAGCGAAGTTCTTCAGGGAGGGGCGGTACGGGCGGAATATCGTCATCGCAGAGATACCCAGATCGCCTCCGAGTATGACCCATCTTTGGGCGTGTCGGAGTCCGAGGGCTACGATCAGGATTGAGCTGGCGCTGTGGGTGGTGGTAGAAGGTGTCGCGGTGGGAGTCAGTGGGCGGGGCAGGCAGAGGCGTAGCCCAGATATTGGAACGAGAATCATTGTCCGAGGCAGCGGCAGGTGAAGACGCCGGACGCAGGCAGGTCTGGCTCTTCTTCATACGGAGAGGGGTTGTGGGCTTGGAACTTGGTGAGCGGGTGAGTCCGGAGACTTTTCGGGGTTGAACGTAGGGGGACCTTTTGATGTTGCGCGTAGCACTTTCATTTCTTCCTGCATCCTTCTCTTCGTGCTCGGTCGGGGGAGCGTCGTCGATGGCTTGCTTGCGCTTGGCGGAGCCGGGGCTCTCGCCAGCCTCGGATTTCTGCCATTTCGCTTTTCCGGGTGGGCTAAGTAGACCGGGGTCAATCAGACCCTCGAGATCGGGCTCGCGTTCGTGATCGTTGATGCCTTTCGTCGAATTGGGCTGAGGAGGATTCCCACTATCGATAGATTCAGGAATGAAAGACTTCCTTTTACGGGAAGAGCGGTCCTTACCCATGGATGACGACTGTGACCCTTTCGAGCGCCGTTTTGGACTTTGGGCCGTAGCTGGGGTTTGAGGCGGTCGTGCTTCTTCAAAAGAGAAAGTTTCGCGGCCTTCCATGGATGGCAGTGCCGTCAGGTTGGCCGCTTCGGTTTCGTTTTCTGCGGCCTGTTGATCCAGCAGTCTTTCCGACGGCAGAGTGGGAAGGGCACCAGGGACAAATTTCCTTGGGAATGATGCGGGATCCATCTCGGTGTTGAGGGTCTTTGATTGGGCTGTAGGTGCTGGGGTCCGTTCCTCGTTGCCTGTGAGATCACGAAGCTCCCGTCGGGCACGTTGGAGCTTGTCCTCGAGGTTGCTAACTTTCTTGAGCAGCTTGTTTTGGCGCGAGAGTTCCCTGCGGGAGGGTTGCTTGCGCAGTCCATTCGGCTCGTTATCGTCAGAAGTCATATCGCAATACACTGCTGGGGAAGCAGATGGCGATCCATGGGATTTCTGGAAGAATGACTTCGGCAGGCGAAGATCCTGAAGAGAAGAGCGCTTGGAAGCCGAAGACTCGGAGCGCGAGGGTGCAGCATGGATTTTATCATTAATTGAGCGGCAATGCGAGTCTTTGATTGGAGAACCATATGCCATCTTGTGCTGGAGAGACTGCCAAGTCTGGTCGGCGTGGGCAGTGTTGACACCAAGGTCCTCCATGTAATGACCCTTATTCGTACCCTTGTAGCCGGCCTTTTTCAATTCCGCATAGGCCTCCTCCGCCTGGTTGATGACATCCTTCTGCGGCGACTTATTAGGCGATCCCTCGGAGTTCCTTCCCCATCCACCGAAGGGATTAAATGCCGAGGCAATAGCCTTCCCAAAACGAAAAATACCAGATGAGCGACGCTGAAGACCAGGTTGCTTGTTTTCCTGCTCTTGGAAGTAGATACTGGGCGGTTTCTCACTGACGCTATCGCTCATAGTCGCTTCGACGAATCGCGATGTCCGTCCTCTGGGGCGGCGGGGGCTGGAAGCAGATGCGGCAGCATGGCGAGCGCGCAGCGAAGCGAGCGAGCCGCGAGGCGAAGCGCGTGGTGAAGCCTTGTAACCTGAGCCATTTGCGCTCACGCCGAGACTTCCGTTCTCACCGCGCTGGATGCGGCGATCATAGGCTCCGTAATCAGCGGCTTCTTCGGGTAACGGCCAGTCGTTTGAGCGACGTCGTTTGCTCTGTTTCGCTGCCGACGATCGGTTCTCGTCTGCGTGCGCCTCTTCGGCATCATCGAATTGTCCAGAGACGTCTGAGCTCCAATCATAGTAGTTATCGTCGTCGCTGGAGCGTAGATGCTTGCGCGAGGAGCGCTGGTGTACGGCGCTCGGGTCAATATCCATTTCCATTTCCATTTTGGAGTCGCGGGCGCTGAAACAACGCAGGGAAGTTAGATTCAATCTTTCTTATGCGGGATTTGAAATCCCTTCCATGGGGATGGCAAGGGAGCTTACCTTTGCAGCTGTTATGTTCCCCCCACGCCCTTGGAAAGAAATCGCAAAAGTATGTCTGGATTTGGCATAGAAAGCGCTGAGAGTGGGAGGAAATAAAACAAAGAAATGAAAGGAACGGGAGACTCGAATGAGGTTTGTTTACATACTCCGCACTTGCCAAGGGAGGATTGTTGTGGTACCCGGTACCCACGTCTACCGCAAACCTTCCATAATTTACAAAGTACCTGTTACATCATCAGAATGTCCAAACAAACATGTGCAAATATAAAATCTGGGTAGAATTCCACATGTCTCAAACATGTGCCTATACATTTTCGATAAGGAATGTAGATATGACATGTCCATAGGAGAGATGTATACCATTAGCTACTAGAACACCTGCATTCTAATCAATTTGTGCAAATCATAGATTGGGTCAAGTAAAAGGAAAAATGCTACTAGGTATCAAGGGGATGCTACAACGCCAGTATATAGAGTAGATTAAGCACCAGGGGTTCTGGGTGTGAAGCAAGGAACCCAGTATCGCAAGGTTACTGAGGTCAGCCCTTGTCTATCTGGAAAGTGTATGCTCTAAGAGCAATGTTGGACATCCTAGCTAGAGTTGAAATAGGGATGACATTCCCTATTCCAATCCATGTGATGAAGGGAAGGCGCCTTGCTCTTGATGATGGACTGAGAGGCCATTCGAGAATGATGCAAGTACCAGAAATGTAGGTGACAAACATAAATGATCATTGAGGCTGCGAAGTAAGAATAGCCAACAGCTAAACTCCTATGTAACTCCGAACCTTGACCAAAGAAATTCCTCGCCAAATACTGGAACATGAAATAAACCAATTCCCGATATACGTTCAAATACGTGGAGAAATCTCGGACTCCGGTAGCCTCAACGAGGAATCGAAGGAAAAGTCATGTACAAAAAAGCCCAATCAGGTACCATCACAAGAATCCAGTCCATTGACCGTTTTGAGACCCAGTCATCGAGGCAAGCCCTAGGCCAGCATATCGTGTTTTCTGCCACGAGACATTTGAGGCCATTTCAGATATAATCAAGTCGGAGGAGCTTTCATGACCATTTTGCCGTTGGCTCGCTTGTAGGCCATCTGAATGCCCATTTCAGCCATCAGTGCAGAGCGACTTTCTCCTGAGAAATCGCGATAGGCGCTCGGATAAGGCTCGGTATCAGGCCGCATGCCGTTCTGCATTGACCGGTCATCCACGCCGAAAGTATCTTCATGACTCCTTTTCCCGTATGCTGGCCCAGTCTGATATACCATACGCTTTCCTCTGACGGTGTCATATCCGCCGCTGCCACCGCCGGGTGAAGTGGTTTCCACAGAAGGAACAATCTGGTTACCATATTCATTTGGCAGGGGTTTTAGAGGCGGGATGGACTGAGCTGCAATCGGTGTTTGAGAACGTGGCACCGAAGCATTGGGCATGGATGGGTATACGCCTGGCTCCATGCGAGGATCCATGTATGAGTTTGGTTTCGGTGGCTCCATGCGATAGGTATTCATAGAAGGCTTGGGATAACCGCCTCGTTCGGCAGGTACTTGAGATGCCGTGGGGTACGCAATTGGCGTCCCTTCGTATTCGGAGGCGTTGGATGAGTGTCGTATTTGGGCATATGTGTGTTGTGGGGAGTAACCTTGCGGTGCGACCGGTGGAGGTGTAGGAGGCATGTGAGGAGCTGGATAATGCGAAGGCGTGGAACCAAATGAAAGGTGTGATTGGTATGAGGGTGTCTGGGAGTGTGACATGGGTGCAGGTGGCATGGGTCTTTGGTAGGGTTGTGGGCACTGGAAGCCATAGTCGGGTGCAGATGGTCGTCGATCCTGAGCAACAAACCCGTAGGGCGATTCTACATTGCTGCCATTGCTGTTTGATCTAGGACGATCCATCGAAGCTGCGTATCTGTCAGGTGTCGTGAAACGATCTGACGATCTTGCATATGCAGCTGCACGTTCCTCATCGTATTCCTCTTCTCGCTTGTCGCCCCGGCGTCTCATGCGAACGTCACGACGAATGCGAACACGGCAACCCTGCTCGGCAATGATACGGCTCAGAGAGGTGCTAGTCGCCAGGCCAGGGAACTTCTTGGCACTATAAACGGTAAAAGGGACTGACTTGACCTCGAGACGGAAATGAAGGAATGCTTGCGGCGTGCCGGGCTTTGGGGAATGGGTTATTTGGTTGGGAAGAGGCAAAGTGGAATCCTTGTCGGCATCTTTGGCGTCCTTGATCTCTTCGTACAGGTGGAAGTTCAAGCGGTACCGACCCTCGTGGCGCACTGACAGATCTGGGAAGATGAA